GGGCTTGGCCAATGTGATAAGTTCCTGTATGTGAACGACGACTTCATCAAGGTGAGTGCATGCCCCGAGTGAGTTTTCTGATGTAATACTATTTACTAAATTTAGGCCGGTACCTTACTTGCGATAGGAATAATTTCGTCTGGTATCCAAGATGCTTGCGACCCTGCTTCAGCTCTTCTGATTGACCATATTCATTCTGAGAGGTATTTTGTGCGCCATGCTGTAATTTTGTTTTTCTCGCACATTCCTGGCTAACGTCGCCGATAAACTTCTGAATTCCAGGGCCGTCATCCGCGTCGGTTCCGTGCTTGGATTGGGACTAGCTTATGCCAACTCCAAACGTGAAACTGTTATTAAAAACGAAGAAGGTGGAGTGATATTCGAGCTAAAAAAGGTAAGTTGTTTTGTTCCATTTCCTTACTTCTTGAGTCTGTCAACTGAGTTTTAAGGTGCTTACGGATTCAAAGCCATCAGCAACTAGTGAAGTGAAGGGCCTCACTGGTTTGGCTCTCGGTTTAATTATGGTTGGAACAGCAGATCATACTGTAGCCATGGAAATGCTTCAAACGCTGATGGAGCGCAATGAAACCGAGCTTAGCGATCCGAACATGCGCTTTTTGGCCCTCGGAATTGCTTTAATTTTCTTAGGTTAGTGGCTTACATTGATTTTACTGCTTACTTTTGGTTGATTTCCATGAGAGCACGTGTTCTTGCGAGTGTTCTTAATTGAGAAAAATGTCGCAAGTCAGTTTCAATGTGAGGTCTTTGTTGTTGTGAAGTTTGTGTATTGACTTAAGTCGTCGAATTGGAATTTTTAGGTACTCAGGAAAAGAGCGAAGTGTTTGTGGAGTCTCTGAGGTCGTTACCCGAACCTTTCGGTCCCATGGTAAGCATTAATTTTTTGGTCACTGCTAAATGTGCAGAAAGGTGTTACATTTTATGGAAGCTGTGAAATTTTCGACCAGGGGCTACTTGTGTGGTTCGCTAGCGATTGGAGCGATTCTTAGTGTCTGAAGTCTTAAAAGGCCAATGAGTGCTCTTTAGAACATCGGACAGTAACAGACTGTTCGAAAACTTCTTCGTCGCTATTGAGACATCAAGCACTTAACAGGAAAGGCTTTCAACTTCATAGAACTTTGAATTGAGACCTGGGCGAATCGGTAGAGTATGGCTAGAACGCTGGTTACAAAAATGAAGTTCAAAACTGCTACGTAAACCTGCTAAGGAAATTGTAGTGATCAAATTGGTCCAAGGTTCGAACCCCTGCGATGACAAAGTTCTTGCATTTTATGTGGACCTCCCAAGTTGGTGCCAAATGGGCCTAGCATAGATGTCATATTGGTCACTGGAGCATCGTTCTCACTTTGGAGGCGTTTATCAAACACTATTACACGCAGGTAGCATTCACAACTAACTTAGACCGTCCATAACTTCCTTCACGGGTTCCCTGGCACATTTGATTTCCCTATTTGTAACTAGCTTCCAGGCTATCGATTTATCTAGGTCTCAATTCGGAGTTGCATGGAAAGTTGAAAGCTTTTCCTGGTAGGAATCGCACGAGTCGCTAGCGATTTCTCTCAGTCTGACGCTTGCTTAGGAATTATTCATATCATTCCATACACTTCTGCAAAATTTGCTCGATGTATTAGAATTTTCCCTTTATTGGAGTTTTCCATGATCCTTCTCTTCAAGGTTTCCACTTTGGTTGATGTGTGCGCTTATGCGGGAACTGGTAACGTATTGAAAATACAGAAATTGTTACACATGTGCTCGGAACACTACGAAACAGAAGACAAAAAGAAAAAGGTATGGTGACAGTAAAGTTTATGAGTTTTTTAGGAAGACCTCTCTTATCTAGTAGATGTACTATTTGTTTCAAATTTTGTTAAGGGAATATGGGCAGAATCTTATCTTCGAAGTTATTTTTCAGAAAGATGATAAGTCAAAGAAGGATGCTGCGAAAACAGAGAAGGACAAGGATGCAAAGCCCGATTTATCGTCTCAACAGGCCGTTGCTGTTATTGGAATTGGGCTTATTGCGATGGGTGAAGAAGTTGGATCTCAGGTCGGTGGAGTAATTAGATCTCAATTTTTGACAGATATCATTAGAGAGATATGTTTTGCGTTACAGATGGCTCTAAGAATGTTCGGACATCTTATTCGGTACGGTGAGCCAGTAATACGAAGAGCCGTTCCGTTGGCATTGGCTCTGATCTCAGTTTCAAATCCACAACTGAAACATTCTGGAAACCTTGAGCAAGTTTTCGCACGACGCTGATTCGGACACCGCCCACAACGCTATTTTTGCGATGGGATTGGTAGGAAGATTTCTTATTCACCTTTTCAGCTACCTTCACAAAATTACAGCACTATTCCTCACAAAGGTTCTCTTTGTGTGCTCTTGACGTTCATTTGATTTTGTCTTTCGTTTGTTTCTGTGCTGAAGTTGTTATTGATTATCCTTAAAGGTCGGTGCTGGAACGAATAATGCTCGTCTAGTTGCCATGCTTCGGTCGTTGGCCAGCTATCATCATAAAGATCAGGTAAGTCGGGCTTATTATGCTTCTGAATTAAAAGTTCTTTATTGTTTCCATGTTCCAGATTTCGTTGATGTTAGTGCGGCTTTCACAAGGATTGACACATTTGGGCAAAGGTACGATGACATTAAATCCATGGCACTCTGATCGACAGTTGCTATGCCCGAGCGCCATCGCAGCCCTTCTTACCATTTGTTTCGCATTCCTGGATGCCAACAACTCTGTAGGTTTTTTATTACCTATTGAAAAGTGGTTCCATTTTTTCACCACATCATTCCATCCATTCCTACTATGTATTTAATCTGAATTATTAGGTGTTGAATAACCGACAACATTACTTGCTTT